ACCCGGATAAAGGAGGGGAGTTTACATTTTATCTACTTTAAAAAGAAATCGAAAAAAATGTATTTTTTGTAAATGTATTTCAAAAACAATTTGTCTTCATTACATAAATATTTTATACTTTATAAAAAAATTACAATATGATAGAAAAGAATGCCTTCATTAAATTATTTTTTAAAAAATGCATTAAATTATTTGTATTTTTTTAACATTTTTTTTAAAAAAGCGTCTTCATTAAATTATTTGTGTTTTTTTGTATTTAAAAAAAAATTTGAATAGCTCGCGAGCCAAAGCTCGGCTCGACCCACGAGCTCGCCCAAAATTAACGAGCTTGGCTCGTTAAAAACGAGCCACGAGCGCGAACCTAGCTCGTGAGGTTAAGGGCTGAGTCGAGTCGACATCATTAGACCCACTTGGTACAAGTGTTGGTAGGGATTCTGTACTCTCGACGTCATTTGTTCATATAAAATTTTGTATGTTTTAAACCTTCGATAAAATTTCAACTCAGCCTATGCATGTGAGAGCTTGTAGATTTATCATTTTATTTTTTTATTTTTTTGACAACTTAAACTTGAATGTGAAATAATTAAACAGCTAGATCCACCAATAACTTCGACAGCAAACCACCATAATGTTGTAATTCATCTCTCAATATATCACAAAACTCTTTTCTTTTCTTTTTTTTTTTTTGTCATAAATAATTTTATGTAACCACAAAAGCAGCTTCATTATAGAAAATTATCTTTATTCTATAAGGATTATTCAACGGGTATATAAGTGTATATAATACTATTTTCGCGGCACAAAATTAAAGAAAAGAAGAATGTCATAAAACTCATCAATTGTTGTGTGCAATTACATCTAGTCGAGTATATCAAATATATTTTTCTGATTCATAACCCTTTTTAAAGTATCTTTATTCGAGATTTTTATTTTTCTATTTCTTATTTTATTTGAATATTCAAGTATTGATAGGTAATTAGTTATATCAATTTGATTGATTCCAAGAAATGTTTACAGATTTACGTTGGTACTTGGTGGGCCTTCTGACTCTCAATTGGGCGAACTTGATAGTCTTTTAAACAAGAATTGGGCTTTACCATTTAAGTATAGAACCTAACGAGGAAATTAGGCCCAAAAATTAAATACATTTAAATTGATGGAAGTAATAGCAAAAGAAACCAGCTAATTCAAAACTGGGGATTCTAAATCAATTGCTGCTATTCACAGCCTATTTGATTTAGCAAACATAAAATAGACTAAGATTTTAGTTAGATTAGGTTGGTCTTGGTATTCTAGGTTTTTAATTTATATTAAATTGAAATTAAATATTGAATTTATAAGAATAAATTAATAGTTGTGCATAACAAAGAGTACGAGGAACTACCATTGCATACTGACCTGTAGAAAAAATTGATTGCAACGTTGAAGGCTCGAATAGGCCCTAATAAGAAAACAATTCTTCTATAGTGAAAGTAAAGTATAACTCTCATTTAAGTGTAATGATTGGTCAAATAGAAAAATCTTTATATGGATGTTCCAAACCTCATTTCTAAACATGTTTAGGAAATCGAGACAATGAGACACGTAACAAAGAATAATAATTATTAATGTCTCCTAAACTATGTTGTACATCAAAAGTAAGTTCAAAAATTTCAAGATTAAAAATGATTTGCCTTTTTATCGTAGTATGAAATTTAGGAATATTGACAACAAAACGATGAGCTAGCATTGCATGTCGATAATTAGTAGGTAACATCTTAATATCAATAAGAAAAGTGTGCAATCAAACAATGGCCTTGGAAAACAATGTGGCAACCCAAGGAACAACATGCAATTGAGGTAATGTAACAATAACATCAACTTGTAATGCAACAATAACATCAACTTTATGGGTACACAAGAGTAGTCTAATTGTTTGGTTGAGATGGAACTGGCATTACTAACGATAATTCGTCAACTATATTATTGTCAATTATACGAAAAGTCGTTGTTAGATGGGATACGTGACAAAGCTCACAACTTTCATCCTCACTATCAGAAGAGTTAATTGGTTCAAGAATAAAAATTGCATTGTCTTCTTTAGAAAGAGGTCTAGGACAATTGGACTTGTGAAGTGAATGGATTGGTGTGTCTAATTTTTTACATAATCGATGAAATCAAAAAGATATGTACAAATGGTTGGCTAGACAGTAAGCTTTGTCTAAGGATTGAAGTTCGGGAATGTTGTCAGGCAATATTTCAGGATTTAACCTATCGACAAACCTAGACGTTGTGATGTGGGGAGCATCATAAGTATAACAATTGTTTAATAACTCTTTGAAATGTGCTAGATACTCATTAAAAATTTAGTGCAAAAAGAATTGATTTAACAATCGATTTCGAAAATCAAAAGGGGCATATTTAATACTCAAAATTCGTTTCATCTCATCCCAAAAAGTAATTGGGTATTGACTTAGACGATTACGTAAAAAGGACTTCTAATAACTTCTAGTAGAACCGACAAGTGACCCATTAGTATAGCAAATTCAATGTGAGTCACTCAAATTGTGATAGTTGAAGAATTTTTCAAGATCATCAAGCCAATCCAGAAATGATTCCGAACTAGTCCAACCATCAAAGTCTCATGATTGTAGTGGGATGTGCCTGGAAGAAGAATGCTGAATGTCGCGAACATAATCCCTAGACTTAGGATAATTAAATTGGTATGAGGATGGGGGACACACATTATTTATAAGTTCGATGTAGGTTTAAGAGTTGTCATAAGAATTGTACATGATTTTGATTTTTTATATGTTTAAAATTTAAATATGGCAAGCCAAAACACCTAAATAAAAGCAACAATTTTCAACATGAAGAAATATGTACCTCGCGAAACTCAAAGGACTCGAAAAACACCGTTCACTATTGCATTTATTGTTTTTTAAAAAATAAACCAGTATTTCTACCCTATTTTTGAACAGAAATTTATTAGGCCCCTGTTCGATCCCCCATTTTTGGGAGGGTAAAATGTATTATGAAATAATGATTTTTTTGAAGAATGTGTGGTTAAAAAGTAAAAAAAAGTTTTTGAAATACATATATAATTATTTTATGGTAGAATGTGTGGTTGAAAATAAGATTCGAAAAAATGCATTCTTGAAAATGGGGTTCAAATAGGGGGCTAAATACGTGATCTACTAATTAGTGAAAGATTGTGGATAAGAGTGTAATAAAATAAGTTAGAAACAAGCTATATAATGATTGAAAAATTAGGACTTTAAATGAAAAATAAAATGTGATGTAACAAATAAAATATGTCGTGTGAATACAACCGTCCTTACAATTTTAGATGCAGTAAAGATACGAAACGATGTACAAATGATAATTAGGACTCCAATGGCTCGACCAAAAATGTTAACTTAATACTAGACTCGAATAGCTCTAACTATAGTTTCATATTTGACACACGTGTTATTTATAGGTAAAGTCGTCAATCAACTGGTGTTATGTTCTTTTATATTTTATTTAATAAGAAATATTAAGAAAGGAAAATAATTTATTTTACTATTGTATCATATATTAACATTATATTTTGTAATAACTAAGTTTATTTTAATACTAAGTAAGGGCATTTAAGTCATTACAACCTTAAAAATAAATAAATAAATTATGTTTCTAACTTTCTAAAGCTAGATACACACTTAGCCCTGGTTTGAGTTCATTGAAATTAAATTTTGGGCAAAAATATATTTTAAAATAGTATTTTTTAAAAGAATGTGTGATTAATAAAGAAGAAAATTTTTTAATTTAATATAATATTATTTTATTGAAAAATGTGTGTTAAAAAGAATAGGAAAAAATGGTATTTAGAATAAAAAGAGCCCAAACATGGATTACATTAAAATTAAATTACTTATATATTATTCATTTAATTCACCATATTATCAAAATTAAATTTATTTAGCACCCGTTTGGCTTCCATTTTTGGAAATAAAAATGGGGGGAGTAGTATTTTTTTTGAAGGATTATTCTACTTGTACATAAAAATAGTACATAAAGGATTACATAAATGATGTGAATGGAAAAGATTGGGTTAAAAAGTTGATTGTATTTTAAACGGTCAAATGAAAAAATAATATATAATATTATGTAATCCATTACGTAAAGTTTGGTGTATATGTAACAATATCATTTTTTGAAAAATGAGTGGTTGAAAAAGAAGGAAAATAATTCGATTTACGTGTAGTATTATTTTATGAAAGATTGTGCGGTTAAAAATATGAGATAAAAAATGAAATATAATTTAGATGGTGTTTGACACCCATTTTTATGAAAAAATGAATTTTAGAATTGTAAATTGATAAAGAATGTGTAGATGAAATTTTTTTTTAATTTACGAATAATATTATTTTAATGAAAAAATGTGATTAATAAGAAGAGGAAAATATGTATTTTGATAGAAATGAGACTACTTGATGGGGGGCAAACGGGGGCTTATTCTCATTCACCGCCTTCGTCTGTACAGTCCCTACTCCACAGGTTTCACTCTTCCAGAGCCCGCCAAGTGGCAATCTTCATTTGTTATCGTCAAATTTTCTCCGACCTTCTCATTTTCCATAATACAAAAATCCCAAATTTCAAACCAAAATCCCCAATTTCCAGTTAGTTCATTCAGTCTCTAATGCTCAAGAGGCTGCTAATTTCGTCTTCTTCCTCTACTCGCCGTCATCACAATTTCGCGAAAAAATCAGCTACAAATTTCCACTTTTATGCAACTTTTAGTAAAACTTGGGGCAGTAATTCATTCTCTTCAGTTTCTTGGCCTTTGTCAGTGGTTTTCTGCCGGCGTATTAACTTTTCTAGAGTTATGGCCATGGCGGAATATAACCCAGAAACTACGTCGTCGAAGACCCACAAGCGTACTAATCGTCTTGCGACCGAGCATAGTCCCTATCTTCTTCAACATGCCCATAATCCTGTATGTATGTCAAAATTTCAAAAAAATTGATTCTTGATCCTCCCCCCCCCCCCCTTCTCATTATTTCCGTGGTATTTAATTGATGCGATTTTCTTTTTGGGATGATTTTGGCAATTGGGTTTTATGCATTAACGCGGTTTCATTTATTTGAAGTTGGGTACAGCACATGCCATTGGTATGATTTTTATCATGTTTCTAAAATTGCTTAACCTTTGAGCTATATAAATATAGAAATGGCTAAATATTGCTTTTGGTGAACACTCTTGATCAATTAAGGTGTCATGTAATGGAGGTGGAATCTTTTGAGAATGAAGAAGTTGCCAAATTGCTCAATGATTGGTTTGTTAGTATCAAGGTGAGCTTCTCAAGTTCCAAGGACCTCATTTATTTTCTTAAATGTAGTACGAATGCTTTAACAAGCTTCATTGACAGGTCGATCGAGAAGAAAGACCAGATGTGGACAAGGTATGCTTTGCATCCTAGTATCAGCAAGGAACTTTTGTCATTTCCTTTCATTTAGTGAAATTTATTTTCTTAAATGTAGTATGAGTGCTTTAACTAGTTTCTTTTCATGCTAAAAAATTGTTTAGTTATTAATTTGGGATTTTTTCCAGAATGTATGTATTATTTTTCGCTCTACTCATGCAATGGTAGAGTAGTGCGGGCAACTTTTGTAGTGTAGTAAGGTACTAATCAGCCTTGATTATGTGGGAATAGGTTTTGGGGGGCCCTAACTAAAGAGAAAAAGGTATAATAGGACCATAAAATTCCCAGCGCTGCTATTCTATTTTCTATCTGCAGAATTGATATTATATACTTTTCTTCTGTTGTGCCTTTTTTTTTTTTTTTTTTTGGAAATCATTTTCTTGTATCTAGCCTTATGCATCGATTAGGTTTCTGAGGGCTTTGCTCTCTCCAGGTATACATGACTTATGTGCAAGCTTTATATGGTGGTGGTGGTTGGCCACTTAGTGTCTTCCTTTCACCTGATCTAAAGCCCTTGATGGGTGGGACATACTTCCCTCCAGATGATAAATATGGAAGGCCTGGATTTAAAACCATACTATGGTAATCCCTTCGGCGAATATGTAGTTTTGGTTGTTGATGGTTTGCCAATCTTGCAAAATGAGCTTTCCAGTTTTTTCCTTGTTGAGCTCACTATCATTTTCATCTATTAGGAAGGTGAAAGAAGCGTGGGAGAGTAAGAGGGATGTACTTGTCCAAAGTGGGTCTTTTGCTATAGAACAATTATCTGAAGCATTATCTACTGCTGCGAGATTAGACAAGCTACCAGATGGGGTTCCGCAAATGGCATTGAAGCTATGTGCTGAACAGGTAAAATTGCTGAGGTTGAAGATTTCTTGAGATCATGAAGCATGATCTGTTGATTTTTAAAAGGCGGATTTGAAGATGTATTTTTGAATCTCTGAAACTCCACAGCATGGATAATTTTGATTCAGTTGATTTCCACTGCCATCTTTTCTGCATTGTTGTATTTAGAGAAATTAAAAATTACAAGGGCTTTGTGTAGTTTGGGAGTTGTATCTATTAAAAGTTTTTTGCTTTTATGTTCTATTTTTGATGTTGTAATTATAGTTTAGCTTCTTAAGTATAATCTTCATATCATTTCCTTTCTGTTCCATTATTGAATTTGTTTACTTATAATTAACTTCAAATTATTTTACTTTTGAATTGCCATAGCTAATACTGCATTGTTCCATGGTTGTGGCTCCATAAGACCATCATATTTTGGTTTCACGAAGTTTTAGCTCTGTATATGTTATGCTAAAAGTCCAGTCATGTCTAGAATCTCTAGCTCCTGCTTTATAGCAGTGATAAGGTATCACACCATAACTCCACCTTGGGTTGTTTGTTTGCTTATATAACCAATAAAATCCTTGCCATGATACTTATACCTCCAATCAGAATCCCTAATGCTTAATAGAGTTTACTAGTACCTAATTTCATGTTAATTTTTTCATAGCTTGCTGATAGTTACGATTCTAAATATGGTGGGTTTGGTTCTGCTCCAAAATTCCCTCGGCCGGTTGAGGCCCAGCTGATGCTTTATCATTCAAAGAAATTGGAGGAGACAGGGAGATCAGAAGGAGCTAAGGAAGACTTAAGCATGGTGATCACTACCTTAGAGTGCATGGCCAGGGGTGGTATTCATGATCACGTTGGGGGTGGTTTCCACAGATACAGTGTGGATGAATGTTGGCATGGTTAGCCCACCTCATTTATTAGTTCTATTACCTCAATACTAGTGGATATTTACGAATTGCATTAACTGAGTCGTCAAGGAAACTCAATATCCGTGCAGTACCACATTTTGAGAAGATGCTGTATGACCAAGGGCAACTTGCTAATGTCTATCTGGATGTTTTTTCCATCACAAAAGATGTGTTTTATTCTACCATGGCTCGGGATATCCTCGATTATTTGAGGAGAGATATGATTGGTCCTAATGGTGAAATATTTTCGGCGGAAGATGCTGATAGTGCAGAATCTGAAGATGTTACAAGGAAAAAGGAGGGTGCTTTCTATGTTTGGACAAGTCATGAGGTACTCTACTGTTTAGTCACTGCCTTGTTTTTGTTGAGGAAACATTAGCCTTTACATGGTGAATATGTTAATACTCCTCTCTAGTGATGGTAGCTTGCATTGAACTATGATTGACAAGTACTTTTTTCTATCCTATGTTAAGTATCGTGCTGATGACTGTTTGGCAGGGCATGAAGTATCCTTCTTATGATCATGGATTTGAAGTTTTAATTGTTATTATATCTATTGGAATTTTGGAATTTTTAATTGTTATTATATCTATTGGGATTTCTTTGTCTTTGCATCATTATTTGTTGTATGTATGATGACCCTTCATCTTGAAAGGTTGATCATGCCCTTGGAGAACATGCTGATCTCTTTAAAGAGCACTACTACGTTAAATCATCTGGTAACTGTGATCTTTCAAGTATGAGTGATCCGCACAATGAATTCAAGGGTAAGAATGTGCTTATAGAGAGAAATAGTATTTCTGCAATGGCATCAAAATATGGTATGCCTGTTCAGAAGTATCTAGAGATTTTGGGGATTTGTCTACAAAAGCTATTTGACATAAGATCTAAACGCCTGAGGCCGCATTTGGATGATAAGGTATCATTTGGTAGACAGGACTTGATAATTTTAGCCATCTGATGTTCTTGTGTGTCTACCCGTGTTTTATTGGGTTGATACTGAAATGTTAGCCATCTGATGTTGGATAGGTCATCGTGTCATGGAATGGACTTGCAATTTCCTCATTTGCAAGAGCTTCTAAAATTCTGAAGGGTGAACCTGTAGGAACAACATTCTATTTTCCTGTTACTGGCACTAACGTAAGATACTGAACTGTTTCTGGCTTGTGAAATTAATTGATCAAGCATGTCTCATAAGACTTGTTATTTTGTATGAGGTTCCTGTTGCAGAATGGAAAATGAGTAAAATGATTATAGAGCATGTTTTTATCTCTGTAAGTATAGTTCACAGTTGGTTATTTTTATTTCACCTCCCCTTTGTTATCTGCTGAATCTTTTTATGCCATCCTGTGTTTCGAGGTTAGAAGGTGAAGATAGGATCAAATCAAGAAATAAGATGCAATTTTCTTTGTCGGGGTTATACGAGGAAGACAATAGTAGGGTGTGACTTTGATGTGTTGTAATTGAGTGCTTCTTGTACAATTGTTTTGTCATTGATTGTTGTGTAAGTCTGCAAGGTTTTGGACCCTATTCCATAACCATGATGATAATTGTTTTCATTATCACCCCCTTTTTCAAACTCTCCTCTAGCCTTGTGTATTGTGAAACGTGGAATCTCCTGGATTTTGCAGTATTATTCTTAACTATTTAGATTCACCTTTCATAAGTATTCATGTTCTTTCATGTTACTTTAACCTTTTAGTGCTAAATACTTAACCTTTTCTTTCTGGTGGATCTTAGTCTGAGGAGTACAGGGAAGTTGCAGAAAAGGCAGCATCTTTTATTAGGAAAAATCTTTACAATCAGCAAACTTGCAGGCTGCAGCACAGTTTCAGGAATGGCCCTTCTAAAGCACCTGGTTTTTTGGACGATTATGCATTTCTGATATCGGGACTACTGGATCTTTATGAGGTTGGCGGTTCAGTATTTTGGCTAGCATGGGCAATTGAACTACAACGCATGCAGGTAAAAACCTGAAAGCTACTTGTCCTTTCGACCTTAGTTATGGTTCTTGCTTGCTGTATAAATTTGTTTCTTTTCAGGATGAACTCTTTCTTGATAAAGAGGGAGGAGGTTACTTCAACACTCCAGGGGAAGATCCTTCTGTTCTCCTCCGTGTGAAAGAAGATCATGATGGTGCGGAGCCCTCTGGAAACTCTGTTTCAGTTATCAACCTTGTAAGGTTAGCTTCCCTGGTCAGCAGCACTAAGTCTGATAACTACAGGCAGAATGCAGAACGCCTTCTGGTATGCTCTTGAAGTCTTGCTTTGTTAATAAATTTACGCTTTCTTCCGATTCATGAGCTTGTTTGGCTAAGCTTTTAAAATGTCTACATATATGCGAATAAGTAAGATTTAAAATAGATTATAGTTTTTATTGGTCAAAATTAGAAATAAGTAATTTACTTTTTTGGGAGTAAGGTATGGATAAACTCAATAGTAATTTCTTTTAGCACTTAAAAGTAAGAAAAGGCAACCTAGCCAAACATGTTTGGAAACAGAAACTTTTTTATAAGCTTACTTGTCCTCGCATCATCCTGCAGGCTGTTTTTGAGAAGAGATTGAAAGATACAGCAATGGCTGTGCCATTGATGTGTTGTGCTGCAGATATGCTCGCCGTGCCTTCCCATAAGCAAGTAGTCCTGGTTGGATGTAAGCCTTCCGTAGAATTCGACAGCATGTTAGCCGCTGCACATGCATCGTACAATCCAAATCGAACAGTTGAGTACTTTCTCACACACATTGCCCACCTTTCTTTCCTTCTATACTTATTATCACCCGTTTACTGGAACTCCGGTGCAATTGTGTGCAGGTGATCCACATAAATCCTAATGATGATGAAGAGAGGGCATTTTGGGAGGAGACTAATGAAAACATTGCTCTGATGGCTAAAAACAATTTTGCGGCTGGTAAGGTTGTGGCTCTTGTGTGCCAAAACTTCACTTGTAGTCCTGTGGTCGACAATCCCAGGTCCCTGGAATCTCTCCTCTCGAAGTGAAGGAAGAATCAGTGAAATGACAATCTATAAAAATTATCCGACAGGTTCTAGAAGGAATTTCGCCCCGGGGGAGGGGGGGGGGGTGCACTTCGATAGAATAGAAGATAATGAATGGAATGATTTTGAATATCGATTTATTAGTAAAAAACCTTCTCCAACTTTTGAATTGTCCAAACAAGAACTTTATGTAAGAGACGAAGCATCAAAAGGATAATTGAAGGAAAACCACGAAGTTATTTGACTGTTAGCTGGTGTAAATGAGGACATTACTCTGGAAGAAGTATGCAATGTGTTGTTTCAGTAAGTGTGGTGTTGCTTACCATGTAAGGACCATGTGTATCTATGTTTTACATATAGCTCTCTTGTTCATGGTCTACAGATGGATAATACAGTTGGAAACGGAAACAATAATAATATACGAGAAAAAGCAAACTTGGAAGGTTATTGCACAAGTGATGAGGTAACTCGAAAGCAATCATACATCCATCACTTTATCGTGAAATTTCCCATAGGTTCGATTCTACTTTGTTGCTAGCTTTCAACTTGGAACGGTTGCCTTTCTCGGGTTTAAGTTTCTGACTCCCAGAAGATTCCCGCTGTTTGAACAATTCTGATAGTCGGGCAGCCAGATTCTGCTTTGCTCAAGGGGGAACACCTTTTGATTGTTCTCTGTAACTGCATTCCAGGATTCAGGTGAGGAATCGCCGTCCGAGAAATTGATCTGTAGTCAGCAGTTAAAGACGGGGGTAAAATATAGGAAAATCAGAGGGAGAAAAAAAAAAACAAAGAGAGAGAGAGACACATATTACCTTCGCCACGTTTCTAACCTTCAGAAAATGATCAGTACACTCTGCTGGGCATTACAGATTCAGAATATAACCAGGACTGCCGGAGAAATATACCTGTAAGATGTCTTTGAAGAATTCAACAGAATCCGTTAACTCCTCTGCTGACTTCCCCTTCCCCTTGACAACGAGCGAAGAAAAGGTGTTATGTTCCAAATACACTCTGATCGCCGTGAACTTGATGAACTTGCCATTGATCTCCAAACCCCTTGCCCCTGCACACATTAGTCATGACCCTCACTCATTAACTTCAAACAACAATATATAGTGCGAATTTACTTGCCTGCACTTGTCTTGTACTAACCTGCGCCACCGAGGAATAAGTTTTTGGTGGAGCTCGAAGGCTTCACCTCCGCCGGAAACAAGTAGGAATCAACTTCCAATTGGTATTGCAGTCTGCGATGAAGACATTTTGTTGGAAATTGGTTTCCAAATTAACATCAAAAGATCGGAAATTCGTCAAGTAAAAATTGAAATCGGAAAGTGTGACTAATGTGTCAATTTCGGCCGAATATTTGGACTTGATCTGATGGTCAAATTACAAAAGTAAAAAGGCCAACTTGTTCTACTCATTGAGTAGATGATCGTAGTATATTTGGACATTAGAAACCAATTCCGGGTGAATGAGAAATTACGGTCCAAAGATTGGAGGAAAATGCTGTGGAAAAGGGCTAAAATACATTGTCGCTTGATATTCGCTCGAGCGACAGTGTCGCCGTCACTCGATGTTCACTCGAGGGAAGTATGTTCTGCTTGAATTTTTGAAGCGATGCTCGAGCAAAAAGCTAGCAAAAATGAAATGTTGCAACTATTTGAAATATTGCACGATTTGGCCCACACCACTTCATCCACACTCCTTCCTCCTCTATAAATAGGACCCCTTGGACGTCTCTAAGGGTATACCAACTCATATTTTGCATTGAGCACTCTTCTTCTTTTACAAAATCTCTTTCCTTTTTTCTTGCATAAAATCCCTTTGTAGAGAGGGAAATTCCATCGCTTCGCCAGTTCTTGTGGTGTGAAGTGCTGCTACCATAAGATTAAACATCCGTTATATCTTGGGAGACAAGTGCCGTCAACCGTGAACACCATAGCGGGACAATATTGTCTTAAGGAGAAAGTGTCATCACTTGCCTCGGATTTCATTTATTTTTCTTCTCATTTTTTTGTTTCATTTTGATACCTTGATTTTGTGATTTTGTACTACACTTTCAAGTTCACATATTGATGGTTTGATCACGCTCCTGTGGGTAAAACATTAATTTGTTTTGATACAAATATCAACAACCATCATACCGCTCACATAAACCCCGGAACCAACACATTTCACCACAGAATTTGTTACTTCAAGTATTGGTTCGAAGCTACCAGCGTGTTAATTAGTTGTATGTAAAGCCATGTACCTTGAGGCAAACGTTGGTTGGGAGATTGAAGAATTAGAGCGTGGGGGTTAGGCAAACGTCGTCGTAGGCGCCTTGCTTTTAAATTTTGTTCCAACACTGCTAATAAATGCATAACTACTCTACTGCCATTTGATTTGAATGGTTTTTTCTTAAAAAGCAAGGCCATGGGCAATGATTTGGGTCCAGTTCAAGAAGATCGGCCCAACGAGCCCAAATGGTCTGTCGAGAGTCGAGAAAAATGTACAAAAATTTCATTAGATAGTAAACTAAGGCTAATCTGTGCAGGATCGGAGCAAGATTACGATTATAATCCGACTAACTATGGTGCGACTGATGGCTCTTTCCTGATCTCATTTTGTGCCTTTGTGACTGTTGAATGATACACGATGTTGCTTTCTTGATTTCATAGGTTATTCGGCTGTTTTTCTCTTGAAATTTCCACTCAACATTTTATTTCAGAATTTGATATTAATATTTCTAGTATTTTATTGTTAAGTGTATTTTAAAGAGTTCGATTATTATATTGGAATTTGTTAGACTCAACCATAAGTTCTTAAATAATATGATTTATTATTTAATGTCACGTTAATGCTATTTAAATTGGAATTGTAAATTCAGTGAGACTAAATAATATTACTCTTTGTACAAAAGATATTCAATTTTTAGGGTTTAAGAGTATTTAATTGGTATGAAAAATATCATATAGAAAAGAAAATATTTTCCTTCTTGTAGAAAATAAAAATCACCTCTATTCAAGGAAAATGTTTTCATTAAAAATAAGAAAAATTAGACATATTTTCAAAAGTTGAAAAATATTTTCCATGAAAAAAATTAACAATCAAACACCTCGTGTAGAAATTTAGGTGAAAAACTAATATTTTCTCGGACACAATCTAAATAAAAATGGAATGAAAATAAATAACCGATAAAACGCTTTTGGTCAATGGAAACTTTTCCTTCGTATTCTACCTGTCACGGACTTGCTAATTTCCTTCAAGAACCGTGCGGCCTTAGTGTCTTCAACTTCCGCCCCCGTGGTTATTACACTAAGTCAGCCTCCCGATTGGCGTTGATGTCTTAGAAAGGTACTAAGTAGAACACTTTAAGAAAGGGACAATGAAGGAACACAAGAACTTACAAAGAAGGCTTTGTATTGAATAAGGATACTCTTTACAACTTCACTCTCTTGATCCTTCAAATGAATCCTACCAAACTATTTATAGTAGTAGCCTCCTCAAATAGATGGCTAGGATCTTTTCTATCCAATGGTCTAGATTACACATCTAGAATTATCTATACAAATATCTACATTAAAATATCTATGGACTAGACTAGGATGATCTAGAATAATCCACCAAGTGAGGAGCTTGTAGGCTTCTAGAATGTCCCACCATATTCTAGTAATCTTCATGCACTTGTGGGAGTCTAGAATATTCCGGTTAGCCTGGAGTCGTCAACATTTTAAATTTCTCGATCTTCTTGTGCCAAAATCGAGCGAGTCGTGACATCCTCCCCTGCCTATTTGGGCGACGCCCTCGTCACCGCGTAATGCTTTAGTTTGTCTTCGAACTGCCACAAGTCTTCTTGACTTTCCCACGTTGCTTTGGACTCGGGCAATCCCTTCCACGTTATCAAAAATTGTTGGCAAGGAGGCACTCCACGCCTTCGAACAATGCGATCTGCTAGAACCTCATCAACCTCCTTGTCAAATGACTTAGTCACAATCGGAGGTGCCCGTTGTGACTCCCCTCGGCTAGGGTCTTCCATGCCTTCATGATATGGCTTCAACATGCTCACATGGAAGACGGGATGAATCTTTAAAGTGCTAGGTAGGTCAAGGCGATAAGATACCTTGCCAACCTTAGCTATCACCTGGAACGGCCCTTCATATCTCCGTACCAAACCTTTGTGCACACTTCGGTACGCCTTGAATTGTTGAGGTAATATTTTCACAAGGACTTGGTCGCCAACTTTAAATTCCAAAGGTCGTCTCTTCTTATCGGCCCACTTCTTCATGCGCCTCCGTGCTTTGTTTAAACAAGATAGTGCTAAGTCGGCATGCTCTTCCCATGACTTAGCCATTTTGTATGCTCCGGGGCTTCTCCCTCCTTCAATAGAAGTGGACAAAGTGTGGGGTGTTAGTGGTTGTTGTCCTGTCGCCAACTCGAATGGACTCCGCCCCGTGGCTTCACTCCTTTGTAAATTGTAGGAAAATTGTGCAATATCCAGGAGCTTGGCCCAATCTCTCTGATTGGCACTTACAAAGTGCCAGAGATAGCACTCCAACAAAGCATTCACCCTTTCTGTTTGTCCATCCGTCTGAGGGTGAAAACTTGTAGAGAAGTGTAGGTCCGAGCCTAGGAGTTTGAACAACTCCGTCCATAGCCGATCCGTGAATCGGGGATCACGATCACTTATTATGCTCCGCGGCAACCCCCAATACTTCACAACATTCTTGAAGAATAGCCTTGCGGCTTCCTCTGCTGTGCAATCCTTGGTGACAGGAATGAAGGTGCCATACTTAGAGAATCGATCAACCACCACCATTATTGACCCGAACCCTTCGGATTTAGGCAGGGCACTAATGAAGTCCATGGTGATAGAGTCCCATGGACGCTCCGGGACTGGTAGAGGCTCCAACAAACCCGTTGGTGACCTTGTTTCCACCTTGTCTTGTTGGCACACAAGACACGTCTTTACATAGAGCTCCACCATGTCTTTCATTTGCGGCCAATAGTAAGCTCGTTCAAGTAGTGCCAATGTGCGTTTCTGCCCTGGATGACCAGCCCACTTTGTGTCATGGCACTCCTTGATGATATCTCGCCGCAAATTGTTCCATTTAGGAACATAGATATGCTGCCCGTAGAGTAAGCCGTCCTCGACCCAAAACCGTCGCGTCTTTCCTTCTTGGGCAGCTTTTACCAACTCCTTAGCCAAGGGATCATGATCCATGCCTTCTCGAATCAAATCAAGCAACGTCCCTTTGGCTTGGCTTATGGCTGCAAGCTCCGCCTTCCTGCTTAACGCATCGGCTACAACATTCGCCTTCCCCGGCTTGTATTCCATCACATAATCAAACTCCGCTAAGAAATCTTGCCAACGTGCTTGCTTGGGAGTCAACTTCTTTTGTGATTGGAAGTAACTAGTAGCGACATTATCCGTCTTGATGATGAATTTTGAGCCCAACAAGTAATGACACCACACTCGTAGGCAATGAACAATAGCCGTCATCTCCTTTTCTTGCACCGTATACCGACGCTCAGTGTCGTTGAGCTTGCGACTTTCAAAAGCAATATGATGCCTTTGTTGCATTAGAACACCCCCGATAGCAAAGTCTGAGGCATCTGTTTGTACTTCAAAGGTCTTGGTGAAATCCGGCAATGCCAAGACCGGTTCCTCCATCACGACCGCCTTCAAATCATCAAAGGCCGTTTGACATTTTTCGGACCAATCCCATGTCTTATTCTTCTTCAATAGGTCCGTTAGTGGGGCTGCCCTCACTGAGTAGCCTTGGATGAACCGCCGATAATAATTAACTAGACCAAGGAAAGAACGGAGTTCGGTTACCTTGGTGGGTGCTTCCCACTCCTTGATTGCTTTTACTTTTGCCTCATCCATCTTCAAGCGCCCGTGGCCAATGATATGTCCAAGGAAGTGCACCTCCGCCTTGGCAAAAGAACATTTTTCCTTTTTGATGTATAGCTCATTCTCCCGCAATGCTTGGAACACCGTTCGGAGATGTTTTGCGTAATCCTCCAAGTTGTCGCTATAGATGACAATGTCATCCAAGTATACCACCACGAACTTGTCCAAGTAAGGTTGGAAAATCCTATTCATCAATGTGCAGAATGTGGCCGGGGCGTTGGTTAAGCCAAAAGGCATTACCAACCATTCGAATGAGCTATATCGAGTTATGCATGCTGTCTTAGGCTCATCCCCTTCTGCAACCCGTACTTGGTAATATCCCTTTTGTAGATCCACCTTTGTGTAATATTTTGCACTACCAAGTCTATCAAATAAATCAGCAATCAAAGGAATAGGATACTTGTTTTTAATTGTTACCTTGTTGAGCGCCCGGTAATCTACACACATGCGTAACGATCCATCATGCTTCTTTTGGAACAAGACCGGAGCGCCATAAGGTGCCTTCGAAGGTCGTATCCTCCCCGTGTCAAGCAACTCCGTCAATTGCTTTCGAAGTTCTTCCAGCTCCGACGGTGCCATCCGATAGGGTGCCATGGATGGTGGTTTGGCACCCGGTTCCAACTCAATCTTATGATCTACCTCCTTCCTAGGTGGTAATTTCTTCGTTAACTCTAGCGGCATCACATTCTTATTTTCTTCAAGGACATTCTTGATAACTTCGGGCACATTATCGTCACCCACAACTTCCTCAACTTGGTTCTCCATTTTTAATGCTACCAAATACGTCGCCTCTCCTTTCTTTAGCCCTTTTGCTAGTTGCATGGCCGAAAGCTGCCCTATTACTTTCGTCCTAGCTACCGTAGGAACCATGCATGGAGAACCCCTCTCCAAGATGCAGACCAAGCCAAAGGAAGGCAAAGGAATAGCATTGACCTTCCTCATGAAGTCCAACCCGAGAACCAAGCGAAAATCATCCATTGTAGCCACCGAAAAATCCACTTGGCCATGCCAAGTGCCTAATTGAATTTCCACTCCTCGAACTATGCCACCAAGGGGCGTGGATGGAGAATTCACAGCTTTCATAAGACCACCACCTTTAGTGATTGTGAGGCCCAACCTTCTAGCCTCATCTTCAGTAATGAAGTTGTTGGTAGCTCCCGTATCCACCATTGCTAGTGCGGGCCGACTATTTACTTGAGCTTCCACATACATTAATCCTCGTTCATTATTGGAAGTCGGAACGACCTTAGCATTGAGAGCGTTAAGAAGTTGCAATGAACTAAAATGTTCCGCCCTTTGATCTTGGCAAGAGGATGAATCTCGTTCCTCCGCCATAGCCGCCAATGTGCTAAGTTTAGGGCAATCACGCATTAAATGTGGCCCCTTGCACACGAAGCATCCACTTTGAGAACCCGTCGAGACCTTCTTCTTTTTCTCATAATTTTTTCGCGAGAGGGAAGGTTTGTAAGTGTTACCACCTTTGAAGAATGATGACTTATGGTAATCTTTCTTCTCTCCCCCGCCTTTAGCCGAGTTACTCTTAAAGCTTTTAGAAGATTTTGATGAATCCGTGCTCCTTTGGAACTCGGTTAAAGATTCGGCCACCACAATAGCCTCGTCTACTGTCTTCACTCCCCGACGTTGAAGTTCTTGCTTCGCCCAATTTTGCAATCCGTCGGTAAAGTGAAACAATAGATCTTCATCTGACATGCTCGGGATTTGAAGCACAAGGGTAGTAAACTCTTTGACATAATCGCGAATAGTGCCCTTATGTTTCAACTCCCTAAGCTTTTTACGGGCCTCGTATACTACATTTTCGGGATAAAATTGGCGTTTCAATTCCTTCTTGAAATCATCCCAACTATCTATCCTACAAGCACCATTTTCTATGTCGGCGTGCTTACGTCGCCACCATAGAGCCGCGATGTCCGTAAGATACATAGTCGAAGTACGTACCTTAATAGCTTCATCCAAAATGTTCACGCCCTCAAAATATATGTCCAATCGCCATAGGAAATCATCTAACTCTTTTGCATCTCGCTTTCCATCGAACTCCCTAGGCTTTGGATAGTCGATCCTTGGAGCCGCTAGAATCGTGCTAGTACCCGCACTAGTTGACGCCTTCTTACAAGCGTCTAGGCCACTTTGCATATCCGCGCAAAGCTTGTTCACTTGGTCTTGGATCGCTTTGACAGTATCCATGACCTTACCCTCCAACCTCGTATATTTTTCCCTTAAAGCGCCTTGGTCTTCCTTGAGATCATCAAGTTGTTCCAAGGTGTGAGCTTCAAGGGTTGAGAGTGAATTCTCCACTACTTCAATGCGTTCCCCCATATTGAGAAATACTTCCTCAAGAGATCCACTGGTAGGGGCTGGTGGTCGGCTCTTGCTTCGAGTTTGTCGAGTTTTCTTACTCGTGGTTTGGGGTTCGACCTCTCAACCCCGCTCGTCATGTTCTACTTCCGAAATGCCGGATCCCACAACATCTTTTTCCGCCATGCCAACGATAGTAAGTGAGCAAACCTAGGCTCTGATACCAACTGTCACGGACTTGCTAATTTTCTTCAAGAACCGTGCGGCCTTAGTGTCTTCAACTTTCGCCCCCGCGGTTATTACACTAAGTCAGCCTCCCGATTGTCGTTGATGTCTTAGAAAGGCACTAAGTAGAACACTTTAAGAAAGGGACAATGAAGGAACACAAGAACTTACAAAGAAGGCTTTGTATTGAATAAGGATACTCTTTACAACTTTACTCTCTTGATCCTTCAAATGAATCCTACCAAGCTATTTATAGTAGTAGCATCCTCAAATGGATTGCTAGAATCTTTTCTATCCAATGGTCTAGATTACACATCTAGAATTATCTATACAAATATTTACATTAAAATATTTATGGACTAGACTAGGATGATCTAGAATAATCCACCAAGTGAGGAGCTTGTAGGCTTCTAGAATGTCTCACCATATTCTAGCAATCTTCATGCACTTGTGGGAATCTAGAATATCCCGATTAGCCTCGAACCGTCAACATTTTAAATTTCTCGATCTTTTTGTGCCAAAATCGAGCGAGTCGTGACATACCGCTCTAAATCCTGGGTTTGGAGTGCTCTGCACAAAAAACCTCTCCCAAGGGGTAAAACTGTTCTCGGGCGCTAGAATTCAATTTTCTCTTTTTGTTATTCATCTCAAGAATCAAATGCTTCTTAGATCCACTTTTTCAAGAATCCATAAATATGAATTCTTTAACAATTTCTGCAGTCTTGCGAACGTAAATTCATTAATTTTGGACTCAGAAACCGCAATTTCTCAGTCAAAATTGAAACCCTTTTCATCGGAGGATAAGGCATCAGAAAATGCTAATGTTATCTCCTATTTGATAAATTCCTGTGGGTTATCTCTAGAGAAGGCTACTTCTTCTTCCAAAAGGGTGCATTTTAACTGCCCAGAAAGACCAGATGCTGTTCTGAATTTTCTTACGAAACATGGATTTAGCAAATCGCAAATTACCGAGCTTGTGAGGAAACGGCCTTTGCTTCTTTTATCCGATCCTGAGAAGACCCTTTTGCCCAAGATTGAGTTTTTCTTGCAGTCCACTGGAGTTGCGAAAGCCGACCTTTTAAGAACCATTTCAAGAGACCCTACATTCTTGACAAGAAGTGTGGAGAACCAACTTATACCAATTTATAATTACCTCAAGGATATAATCGGAGATGAAAAGGTCGCGACTCTTTTGAGGCGTGGTTCGTGGGTTTTTCATCGAGCAATTGCAAAGAGACTTATGCCGAATGTGGACTTTTTGCGGGCATTTGGAGTTCCCAGTTCGTTTATTGCATTAGTGTTGTCAAATTTTCCAGAAGCCATCGCTCAAAAACATAACCATCTCAAAGAAATTGTTGCGGAGGTGAAGGAAATGGGATTTGATCCATTGAAATCAACGTTTGTATTGGCATTACATGCTCGTTCAGGGGAGGGTAATAGGGCTTTATGGGAAAATTGCTATGAAACTTACAGGAAATGGGGTTGGTCGAAGGATGATATTTACATGGCATTTAGAAAACATCCTCACTGTATGCTTTTGTCTGAAAAGAAGATCTCTGGAGTTTTGAGTTTCCTAGTTAGTGAGATGGGATGTGAGTCCAGAATGATTGCACATTATCCACATCTTCTGTTCTACAGTTTGGAGAAGAGGATTATCCCCAGGTGCTCGATTGTTCACCTTTTGTCCTTGAAGGGTTTAGTTAGGAAAGATAAGAGCTTGACCACTATATTGTGCCCTGCAGAGAAATATTTCTTGGACAAGTTTGTGACTAAATATGCTGAGGAATTACCTCAACTTTACGACATTTATAAAGGGAAGGCAGTGGTTCCAGAAGTATAACTGAGTTAAAAGAGTTCGTTTCTAACTTGTTGCCACTCTCATTATTTGCAACAAATTATTGTGTTATGATAGTTATTTTCTGTCTTCATATAGCGTCTTGCAGCGATTATTCAGCCAAGATTGATTATGTAGGCAACTCTCTTGATCTTGATGTCGAAACAAGGGTGTTTAATTATAATTTAGAGGGCAACTAAACTCCATTTTTGACTCTTGAATCAATGAATTTACTGATTGTTCTGAACCAGGCACGGTCGCACTTGCTTTTTGCTTAATGTTTAGAGATGATGTTGTAGGACCGACTCCTACAACTTCCATGTAATTGTTAATTATTTTACTTCGAAATGAGATTCTGTGAAATGTCTTTTGCTCGATGGATTTACAAGTTTTTATGCATATTATTGTTTTTGGCTGGTTATGCCCTTTATCCTCCACAATTTTGATGCTTAAATTGTCTTCGCAAGACTTGTCATTCAATCAAAATTTCACCCGTATCTCCAAGAGATTACACAGTTAGACACAACAACATGCAATGCACAAAGCCACAGAATAGAAGCCGTAGAACAAAAATTACAGGGAAACCTGGCCTTTATTACTCGGCAAGAAATGAGGTACGTATGTGCACTCTGATTTATGCTGAGAACTCAATCGAAATGAAATGTTTAATTTTTACCCAGTGATGGCATCAATATATGAACTGTCTCAACAACTTTGCCACTTTTATACAAAAAGCTTTCGTTTGACATCCCCAGCTGCTAATGCATAAGTTCCCATGTGATCATGCTTCTGCTATCAGATTACGATATTCTTTTTTTTTTTTTTTTTTGATATCCAGGTATCCCAACTTACACCAGACTAAATCCTGGACTCCTAAGACCCTTGCCCCTAGAACCTTGGAGGGGGTAAATCGCGGATTATGCCTCAACTGGATCACAGGTTCCCCCTATTGCCTGTACACTTCTGCGCACAAGAGACCCTCCTCCACAGTGATTGCTTCATACCAAATTTTTTGGCCGCAGGTTCCCACCAGGAATCGAACTCTCCACTCTGCCGCTGGAAGCAAGACAATGTTGATTGATCCACCAGTTGAGCTGTGCCTCGGGGGGCGGATTACGATATTCTATTAGTATTCAAAATTCTCCCTTTTTCATGGAAGTTACGAAGGAAGTTCTGCTTGAGGCATGGAATTTCCATGTAAAAAGGAGTAGGCTCCTACAGATGTTTCCCTGTGTCCAAAGGCACTCTTATGTTGCTGAATAATGTTATTTATCTCCATTAGAGATGACCTTCATATGATCTGGCAAAAATGATTATTTCATATCCATACATGTCTTTTCATTTAATAACATGTCACTTGCCACATAGACAGACCGGTGATTAATTGTAATGGAGATAAATAGAATTACTCTTTGCTGTTTGGACAATGCGGTTATCCGAAGATGTTGAGGAATTTTTGTCCTGACGACAAAATGTGGGAGAATAATTCGTGCAGAAGGGCTGGGGTGGCATTTTCTTCGGTTAAGAAGGAACCCAGACAGGTGACCACTTCTATTTGTTTGAGTCTTTGTTTAACAGTTTTTATTCTTGTATGAGAGGAAGGTTCTGTTGATCATATCACAAGAAGAGGGAAATAGAAAATAGAAAAACTTGAGCAGCAATTTATTTCTTTCTTCTTCAAAATCTATTCATAGGGTTACTGTTGTATTATGTAAGACAAGGGTAGAGAGAGATTCTCGCTGTGATCTCCTTCGGGAAATTTTATCTCGTTCATAGCACAAGTAAGCCCAAGTATCTGAGCTCCCATGAAAATAAGTTTGTGAGATTTTTTTTCTTAAAAATAATGATCAACAAATAGGGGCTAAATCTGTAAATGCAGATTCATAAGTAACGAAAATGATCAATGATCAAATATAGTTGATCTGAGTCGACGATCATTTATGCGGGGCTCAAGTATGACCCCTATGTTAGGATGTTGTAATATTTTCTCTATTTTATCGAGAGATCATAAATGAAATTACTTTATTTTTCAATAGCTATTAAGATATAAAATTTATGTAACCGAACAATTTGTATTCCAACTATATTATGTTTTCACACTGCTTAAATAATTGAAAGAGCTTTCTGTAATTATAAGTAAAATTGATGAGCACATCATGTTAATTAGCTTAAAAGAAAATGTCCTTAAATATACTATGCTCCTGCTAAGTGAAAGAAAATTAAAAGTTACATCAATTTTTAGTAAGGGAGTTATTTTCTCTAATGGTCGTTGAAGTATGTGTGAAATTTTAGAATGATCATTAAAGTATTCTACATGATTGTCTTGGTATACCCCCAGAAAAAAATGATGTAGCAACATGAAAGTACATATACTCCTAGCTAAGCTCATTAAATTAGCAGGCATATAATAACTCC